ACCAAGCAGAAATAAAGTTCACTTGGGCCCACGGCTCCTTCTCCACCGAGCAGCCAAGCTAATGCTAAAGGAGGACGTCAGGAGGGGCCCTGCTGCTGGGAAAGGAAAGACACCTGTAAATACTGCGGCACAAAAATATAAGATACAGAACATAAATTAAACGTTTTTAATTTTTAAAAAAGTTTAGAAATTACATTTTAAAATATGTAGTTCCCATTAAAAAAAAAAAAAAGAAACCACAAAAAAAAACCCCTCCTAATGAATACTGAAAATGTTTTGCAAGAAAAAAACCCACCTCGGTAACTGATAGGAACCCCTACGGTGCCAGTAGTAAGAAGATCCTGCTGCCAAGTGCTCCCACGTCTTGGGTTAGTGTGTAGTGTCAGGAAATCCCGACCCAGCACCCGGAGGTTACACTGTTATGTACATTTTATCTACATGCTCATACAGGTTGAAATGAGGCAAGCACACATGGGGAGGTTTTACTCTACCGAACATTAGGAAGCGTAGGACGGCTGTAGTACAGAGCACAGGTAAAAGGAAAAGACAGTGCTATACAACTAGTTCAGATAACCTAGCCTGAATTACAGGGAATCTTTAATTTAAAAGAAATTATTGGTGCAGAAACAAGTAAACTGTAATCCAAAAATATTACTGAGCAATTCAGAAATATTTCTAAGAGTCCAACGTACACGGCTATCAAACAAAACAGGCTCTGGGTCTGTCAGGAGAGCAAAGTCTAAAGGACAATGGTGACTTTGAAAGCAAAGCTCTGTACATTCTGGGTATGTGTTTGGCACCCAAATTTCATTGGAGAATGTTTGTTGGTTTGTTGTTGTTGGTTTTTTTTTTTGTTTTGTTTTTTTTTGTTTTTTTTTAAGTCAGACAAAAGTGCAAAGCAATATAAATTAGGCCAAGTCCTTTCTTGACTTCTGATTTATTTCTGAAAAACAAGCCATCGGAGTTCAGTTTCTACGGACAATTTACATGTGAAGCTTTGGATTTCTCACTGCAGGGAAGGATAGGCTTCTGAAATTCATCTACTCGAAGTCAGTGAATTTGTAGTAAATTCAGAGACGACCACTGAGAGCAGGAAAGATAAGAAATTTAGATATAGAGTTGTGCTGCTTTGCATCTACACAGCATCTAGAACCAATTCTGCCTTTAGCTGTCAATCAATATCTTCAGGCATGGAGTAGCCAAAAATCCAGTAGTTCAAGACTGTGACACCCTGAAAAAGACAAAAGAGCAGCTGAAGTGACAGAAGACACAAATCAAGAATCACCATTTGGAAACATCTGAAGGAGGTTAGGCCCACACCACCTTTTGCAACATGGGCTGAAGCCAAAAGGGTAAAATACCTGTGAGGATGGGACCCTTAGGTGTCACATTAAGGGGGTGCTCACCCTCTGTGCTAGCAGCCCCTCCTTTGAGGGGAGAAGCACCCCCTCTCCCCTCCACTCTGGACACTGTCTGTGTTGTAGAACACGCTCTGAGTTCAGCTGAAGTAAGAGCAAGATTCTCAAAGGCACAAGGCCCTGGGGAGTCACCTAGAGCTTGGCACTTTTCTCACAAGTAGCAAGGATCAAAATCCCTCCTGGGGGCTCTGAGGTGACCCACCAGCTAGTCTCACTCAACACCACTGACTGGAACAGTGACCTACACACATTTTTCCTTTCCTCTCCAAGCGCAGAGGAGCAAGTTTTGCACAGGATGCAAATTCAGTTGCTTTCATAGATGAGTTTTTAAGAAAACAGACAAAAAAACTCAAGTCCTTTTGTATTTTGGTTACCTTTCCCAGCCACATGACTCCATTATTAGCTTGGAGCAAGTTCTTGGTGTAATTAAATCTGAACTTTGATCTTACCTGCAGCTTCCCCAAACCATTTTCATGGACTATGGAGAACTACCCTCTTCTGATACGATATTCCCATGAAAGGTTAAAACATCTTTAGGCACTTCCCCCGACTTCCCTTCCCCCAGCCCAAGGACTAGTACTTAATATCAGAATATTAGGCTATCATATGGTAACAATTTTTATCATGTTACAATAAACAACAGGAATTCAACAGAACGCAGTAAAACTCTCGCAGCCAACTGCCAGGACTGTCAAAAATGATCCGCTTTGAAGAGGCATAACATTGCAAGCCTTGTAAAAAAGTGTCCAGGGCTGCTTCAAAGTTCAGAAAACTAGAACGTTTGAAAGCATATAAAACTGTTTCATTAAATGTCACCATGAAATATTAGCTGTTTGACCATAATTTTATGTAGATTTATGGGGTTTGGATTCTGAAGTCAGACAAACCTGTCAAAAAGTGACATCACAGCATCTCTCCTGTAGAGGAAACAATTACTAAGGGACTGTCATTCCCAACCCCAACAACTCCCAGGACATGGCGGTCTGCTGCTTCCAGCTGCGTGTCATGGGATGAGGCAAACCTGCCAAGCGTGCAGAATCTGCAGGGCAGAACACACTGTCCAAGGCATTTCATGCTTCCCTGACAAACCTCAGCGACGCAGAGTCTCGTGGGCCACGCGTGGCAAGAGGGGAAAGTCAGACACCAGCACATTGCTGGTCAAGTGCATGAGGGAAATTTTATTCGACTTCTGATTTCTTTCCTGTTTAAGACACGCTCTGCAGAGCTCTGCCATGAAACAAGACTAATAAAAGCGGCCTGTCAAATATCCTTGTGTAGTTTTTAACAAAACAAAGCCCCCAAAAAATAGTCAATCTCAAATTATTATAAGTTACCAGAAGAAAGCTCTGGTGTATGGACGTTTCCGTGGGGACAGGGAAAGCTTTCCCTGCAAGGCTTAAGCCAATTTATCTGTTATAAAGAGGAGGGATTACGGAAGGGGGTGACATAACATAGCTAGTTTTTATAAGATGAAGTATCACCATGCAAAGATGAGATAGTGAAAGAAGTGGCATAAATAGGCTTTATCTTCTGAAGGAAAACGTCAGCTTGTTGTTTTGACCAAGCTGACCTGCAGGCAGAGTGTTCATTTCGGATATTCATAATAAATGCAATAAAGAGAGGGAGACTCACCTTCTGAGGGCAGTAAAGTGCAGACTGTTATCTGGAGATGTAAGTGTATGTTCTAGATGGAGAGCGGGTCTCATTCTGGGCACTGGGTGGCACATTTAAGAAATCCCAAATCAGAATTGTATCATCGTGGGAACTACTAATGATCTGGAATTCATCAAACTGCAGTCTGAAGACACGTCCTGAATGTTCCTGTGAGCAACACGACAGCACTTGGTGAGGCAGGGAGAGGGGACCTCTGGGTACACTTGTACTCAGGACACACAGCAGTGCATTTGAACTCAGGTGTGCTGGTTAAGAAATCCTTCATTACATTTACAGTCAAGTTTAAGAAAAGCTCGTTATACTCAAGTTTAAGAAAAGCTAATCTCCTACGTGAGCTTTTTTTCCACAGAACACAGGGCTTCCAAACCCAGTGCCTCCCCTGGAAGGGCCTGCCTCAGACTACTACAGGGAAAAGCAGCGTTTCAATCAGTCAGCAGTGATTTAGAAGACTGGCTTTTACTGCCAGGCTGCCAGGAGGGCTCTTGCAGAACGTTTGTGCTGGGCTCTGGTGCTGACTCCATCTCTGACACACCCCATCACAGCCTCCTCCAGGACATGCTAGTCTGCTGTCCTCAAACGCTGCTGCAGAAAGGAGGTGAAGGAGCACATGCTCCTTCCAATCTTTCAAGGAATCTCAGAATGGCACTAAGAGGCCCAGAAAAGGTTCTCCTCTTTGTCCTACTTACCCATTTTTAACAAATCTAAAAGAAGTACACTAGTTCTGTCAGAGAGCTAACCAAAGCTGTCAGATGGATCTCCAAACTATCCCCTCAGCACACCCACAGTATGGCAAGCATTAACTTCTTCAGTAAAACTAACCACATCCCACTCATACGGAATAAAAAAAATACTTAAATCTCATCTCTATGCAAAGATTACAGAATTTAAAGAGAAATGAGAACCATTTCTAGCCATGTAAGCACCTCTTTAGGTGCTGGAAAGGCCAAGCACATGCTGAGTAAGGCTGCTACCAGTACACACAGTCAATAACTTTGGGTTGCTGTCAGCTTGTCAAACTGAGTCCTGAAGTAAAATTTCATGCATGTTCCAGTGAAAAGAACAATGAACTCCTAGTTAAGTCTACTGTCATAAACCAAACCCCTCACTGCAAAGAGAACTTAAGGAGCAGCCTTAAATCTGAGAGTCCCCTGAAGTGATTAGAGTTCCTGGGGTAATCCGTTTCATTCAACCTCCCTTCTCTCTTCACATCTCTTCCTTCCAAAGCATAGGGTTAGGAGAAAGGTTTGGGAAAGGATCACAGGATTCTTCCCCTCCTTTTTAGTAAAAGGAAGGTCAAAGCCAGCTCTACAAGGATACTAGGGAAACACACCAACAACTAGAATGATTTGATACAATGTCATGCTGATTTATCTTTTCTTAGAGCATCTCAGAATCTCAAACTAGAAAAACTTCAATCTTTCTTCTAAGCTCAGATCCAAATAATTCAGGATATAACAAAGTAAAATTTAATTCTTTGAATAAGAAGCAGCCTAGGCTTTATAAAGCATCCTGAGCGTCTTTCCTATTACTATAATGTAGTAAAATGTGTCTTGTTTACAAATAAAAGATTCCAGATAACCTCAAATGAATTAGTTTTACATACCACTAATGTACGCAAGCATAATGTACTTGCTGGGGCACGAGGGTCAAGAGCAGCTTGCAAGTCCCAAACTTTAATTTTGCTATAAAATAAAACAAGAAGGTCATTATGCAAGGGTTGTTTCAAGTGTAAGCACAGAAGAAATACCTAAAACAGTGGAGAGCACGCCAGAATTTCCTCAAGGAAAACGTTAGAATCTACCTTCACTAAAATCTAATGCTAAACGCCACAAAACAGACAGTTTTGCATTTCTCAGTAGCAGCAAATCCAGTGACGTCTTTGTGATGGACCAAGTGGGCTGGTTATATGAAAGACAAACTGTACTCACAGGCAGGCTATTTTGGAACTGAGGATCTCAAAAGCTCACAGCATTACTGGGGAGCAGCAAGGTTCTAGCAGGAATTAAGTTAGGACTGCCAGCCCCAGGGAGACACTAAACCCAAACAAAAGCCTGCAGACAAACAGCTCAAGAATTGTTTTCAGCAATTCTGCTGTTCACTCAAAGTGTAGATCAGGCAGAAGTATAAATCAGGATTTGGATATGGATGGATGTAAGGTGTCACGCATCCACTACACACTGAAAATAGTGAGCAAGTCAGAAGCACTAACAGTGGGGCTCCTGTCCTCAATCCAACAGAAATAGTCACCAAAGACTTCTGAGAGCCCCACAAAATACACTTATGCTCACAATAAACATTTTCAGTGCTGCTGTCTCATAAAAATAGAATGCCTCAACTACTCTAAGCCCACGGGACTTGGCAAGAAGCAATTCCTTCGGGAAGAAACAAAGGAGTGTCACTTCAGCCAACCAAACGTTCACTTTCTATGGGAAGTCAAGCTCTTGGAGTGATAAGACAATTTCGGAGTGTGCTGAAGAGCACCAGAAAAGCAGTTTCTTGGCTACTCGAAACTGCAGCGTGCTGCATTGAAACGCTCAAGCAAAAGCTGCTCAGTCAAATGTTGATCGCTTACTCCAATGAGAAGAGAACCCACTGACCCAAGGGAACATGAGGCTCCGTGGCTTTCAGGAGATGCTTTGCTAAGAAAGGCAGGAATTTTGAAATTGCTTTCAGAAACATACCCATCATAGGCTCCACTAACAATCCTCTTATTGTCGAACCTGATGCACCGAACCAGTTCTTCATGGCCCTCTAATACTCTTAAACAGGCACCACATTCAATGTCCCATAGCCTGAAGAGAACAGTAGAAAAATCTTTGAGTGCTTCAGGTTTAGCACTGCAGTAACTTAAGCGTGACCAAATGGGTTTCTCTGAGAGACATCACAATTTCAATTCAAAAATCAACATATGTTTGGAAGAATTTCTTTCCTGGCAGAGTGGTGAGGCATTGGCCCAGGCTGCCCATGGAGGTGCTGGAGTCCCCAGCCCTGGAGGGGTTCAAAAAAACGTGTGGATGTGGCCCTTGGGGACATGGTTTAGTGGTCATGGGAGTGTCAAGTAATGGTTGGACTTGATCTTTGAGGTCTTTTTCAACATTAATGATTCTATGATTCTGTAATTTACTTGAAAAGGCAGGAGAACGATGAAACGTCCCTTGCTTGCAAGTCAGAGGTTTGTGCTGCAGTCACAGTGTTTATGCGACTTGATGGTTGGACTTGACCTTAGAGGTCTTTTCCAACATTTATGATTCTATGGAATGATTCTATATAAATTTAGTCATTCAAAATTACACACAAGGAAAGGTTGGATATGCACTATCTGGGGAAACACTTTTTTCTATTCTGCATAAACTAGTGATTAGAGGATCAAAAAGTAATTAGGAAAACCAGCAAGCAATGTCCTCCTCATCTCTCCAAGCAGCAAACGAGATGATAAACTATAGGAACAGATCAGAAGGCTTTGCCTTGGACATAAACCCGTGTCCCACTTTTTCACAGGGATGCGACATGTTTACTCGCACCGAGCTAAGTTTCATTCCTACGTCACCTGCTCCAATAGCGAGACACGTTGAGGACATTTTGCACATGCAGGAGAGCAGGTCAGCCCCCAAGGTCGGGGGAAGCCCTGCTTTCACACGTGCAAAGGTACAGCGGTCCATGCCCAGGCAGCCGGCGGGCACCCACCTGATGGTGTTGTCCGAAGACCCGCTGACGACCAGACGGTCCCTGTACTGGAGGCAGGCGATGCCGCGCTTGTGCCCGTTCAGCGTGCGAACAAACTCGCACGTGCTCGTGCTCCAGACCTGGAAACGCAAGGGAAACGCTCCTCTCAGGATTGCACCCCAGCAGCTTTGGGAACTTCAGCAGAAGCCCTTATGAATTCACGCGCAGAAGAGGTCTGAGGCTGGCCTTTGCTGGACAGCAGAACGAGACCTAGCTGAAAGGCACCCCTCCATGGCAGGGAGGTTGGATCAGATGATCTTTAGGGTCCTTTCCAACCTCAGCCAGTCTAGGATTCTATGTGATGTTTTTATGGGTGAAGACTGGGTATGTGGCATCAACAGGTAACGGGACACAGCGGTGACAAGAGCCATGGGCAGTGCTGCACAGTGAGTCAATGCCAAATGTTAAGGTGAGCTGTATAGAAAATATTTTCAAGTGGTAGAGACTACCCCAAATGATTTCAAAAACTTGACTACATTTGACTCTTGCTAAGTTAATAATAATTTTTAAAAGTGTAAGTTACCACATCGAGAAAATCTCCCCGTTTTTTTACCTGAGAATTTGCTAGCAATCTGCTAGTAAGAGAAGGCCAAACCCATGGCATATAAAAGTTTGGTGGCTGTTTCTTTCTTAACATGAAATGATACAATCAACTTTGCCCATTTTTAAAGAACTGTAATGAAAGTTGTAACACAGAGTATCCAGTGGCTCATTTTCCAACACAGAGAGCAGTGGGATCTCTGGCAGATACTTGGACATTGAACTGCCAACAGCTTTTTGGCACAGTCTAAAGGTAGCTCTGGTTCTAGAGAGGGAAGGGAAATGCCTTTGTTATGTTAATACACGCTGGGTAACTTCAATCTTCTGGTATGGAATAGTCTTCAAATACAGCCTCTTAATTCCTCAAACATGGCAAAGTCTGGCTGAACTGCTGGTTAGGTGGGGTGAGGAAAGGCAATTGCTGATATGTTTCACGTCTGGAACAGGACTGCCAACTGAAATAAAAAGTCCCCCTTGGAAAACGGCACAAAATGCGCCACGTTTAACAAACAAACCCAGCTCGAGACCAGAGTTGAAACAGCAAATGGGCTTGACTTTTTTTGCAATTGTAGGGCAGAAGCCACAAAAATGTTATGAGCCTCGTTAAGGACATCAAGCCATTAACAGCTAGTGAGAGGAAGCAGCCAGCTGAGTGGTAAGGAACAAGGCACAGAGCTGCCCATCAACACCGTGGCTGCTCAGGAGCTTTTCTGGCTTGGTAGGCCCCAGATTAGAGCTCTGCCAACTCACTTTAATGGTCCTGTCACCCGAGGCCGACACGATGTACTTGTCGTCAAAGTCCACGACGTTGACGGCAGCGCGATGGCCCACCAAGACCCGGCGCAGGGTGATGTCAGTGGGTGACGCCATGTCCCAAACAGCAATGGATCTGTCCTTCGAGCACGTCACCATCAAGCCGTTGCTGAACCTCAGATGAAGCACTGCCTCGTTGTGATGAATCAACGTGTTCAGCACTTCGCCTGTATTTACATCCCAAACTCTGTAAAAGAAAAGAATTTAATTCCAAAGGGAGGGTGATGGGTACACGTGGTATAAAGTGTAACAAACATCAACTGCTGTCTCTAATGGAGAGCCCTCTGGTTAAACATCTCCTAGGGCTAGGGAAGGCAGGAGGATGGGTGCTATGTTTCAGACTCAAAAGCAGCTATTAACAGCAGTGAAGACTAGGCCAGGAACTGCCAAAGCTGGGACCACTGCCAAGAGGAAGAGTTGCCTAACAACTCTACAGCTCTTCCAGGGTGACTCAAGATGTGTAAATTGAAGGGATAGATCAAAACAAATACTATCCAATATGTTGTGGGTTGGGCTTTTTTTTTTTTTTTTTTAATAGTTTTATACCATTTATTCAGGTTTTGCACACTCCAGTAGCAATTGGGGTGTCACACCCCCAGGGCTACCCCCTGCTCGCACAAAGTGAAAAATCACTGCTTAATTTATAGTTCCTGAAGGGTCTTAAGGTCCACTCTTAACTTTTGAACCTTTGTAGTTTCTTTGACGTGCGTATACCAAAGCAAGACACCCGGAGGAGAAAAGGCACTTCCACTGAACTGCGCCTGAGTGTCTTACACTGGGCATCTACCAAACACTGAATTCATATAAGAATTTAGCCTCAGTAACATCAAAATTGTTGTCAAACAAGTGCTCCATATGGACACAATACCCTGTCATGAATAGTCTTAATTAAGAAAATACAAGGAACCTTAAGTGAAGAAATTATTGTATAGTTGGCCATCAGCCATTCTACATCTTCAGGATATGCCCTGAGTCACTCGGGTTATAGTCCCTCACAATCAATAACACAAAAAATGAGACAGATTGGGGAAAAAAAAAAACCTGAAAGTTATCCTTTACTAAGCATGAATATCTTGGTTTTGGAATAATAGTATCACATTCACATTAGGGATGTTTTCTGATATTTAGAGATTGTTGTACTGATACGCAAATGATTTTTGTGTACAAACTGAACACTCACCTCACTGTAGAATCTGAAGATCCAGTTACAATGACTCTTTCATCATACTGCAGACACAAAACTGAGCCGGTATGTCCTGTTAATACTTTCAAACATTCCAAGCTTGTTTTGTCCCAAATCTGTTAAAGACAAGAAGTATAAATGGCTTATGAAGGTTAAGAACAGGAAAGTAAGACACGAGCATTGCTGCATCTACAAAGGAGGGAAGACAACTAGAGCTAGCAGGAAGAATCCACGGGCAGTTGGCCTGACCAGTCAGTGGGCTTGTCCTCCCTCTTAGCTGGAGGAAGTACGCATGGAAGTTTTTCACAGAACAGCGAAATAACCAACGATCATGAGAAGATAAAAGAAACAAGGAAACACAAGCAGCTCCCTTTCCAAGGCAGAATCATCCACTTGTCCCTCGGGAAAAGACAGAAAGAAGTGTTTACCTTAATGGAGTTGTCTCGTAGGCCACTGATAATCTTTTCATCATCATACTGCAAACAGTAGACACCTTTGCTGTTCTCGGAGCGGCACTGGATCCTCTGCAAATTATGTCGCCCGCATCGCCAGTTAGATTCTATAGTCTAACAAGGGCAAACAAGCAGGAGTCAGGCACCAGGCTGCATGCTTGAGCATCACTACTCCAACGTACACACAACGAGCTCTCTGTTTCTACATGCCATCCTTACTTTTATAGCATATAAAACTGAAATATATCTTTTCTTCTGTCCTCCAGGAAAAATACACGCAACGCAATGAATTAGAATTAGGACTCTTATAGTTTATCATGACACAAGCTGCTGTTAGTGGTGAAACTATTATAGCCAACTAGCCTTACTGAGAATTTCCAAAGGTGCTACTAGAGAGATACATTTCATAACAATTCAGCTCCACCCCATATTTACACAACCAGCTCACACCAGCAGCAAAGATAAAACCAGGAGCTCACACGGTGCCATGTTCAGCCTAACTTGAGTAACTAATACCACAGAACTGACCAGTCCAACAGGGAGATTATGGGAGTTCTGGGACCTTTCCTTCCCTACCCAGTCATTTTGCCTATTAACTGTTTTTACACATCTTAGAAAGGGATTTTGAGATATAAAGACCTCCTCTGAGCACCTTAAAGCCTGATAAAAATAAATTTCCTCCCCCCTTCAAATCTGTGGAAGTGTAATTCTCTACATTTTCATTCTGAGAGATGTTTTTAAGGAAACAGATCTGACAGCTTAAAAAGCTGTGAACTCTTTCAGAGCAGAATGAGGATGATTTCCATGGTTTAATCAGCCCTATTACTTGTGAGACAAGCCATGTCGGTTTCAAAGAAACACAGGATTTTGGATAGGAATTTCATAGTAACGATGACAAGAGACTCCGCACACAGAGGTCCAGGCCAACACCTGCAGTACCCCACAGGCTGGGATGCTTTCTGTCTTCCAGTATAGGCAAGAGAACAGACCATTTGTTTAGCCGTTTCCTGGGGATCCCCCTCAAATACTGCATGGTAACGTGGGGAGAAGCTGATAGACTGCCAGTTTGTTTGGAAAAAGCATACTTATAATCAAATTCTAACTTTCAAAGCAATAGCAGGCACCTCTGCAGCTCCTCCAAGAGTGTAAAAAACTGAAAAGCGTACTGAAGACACAAGTGCAGTATATATTGGAACTATGACTTCCCAATTCCAGGAAAAAAACACTGCTCCAAGAGAAAACTAACCTATCACTTTGTTTTCCACGCATTTGCTCCTTCAATTGTCTCCTGTTATGCAATTTGGAGAGAATTATACAGAGTCATACAAATCTGAGGTGCCACAGGAATTCGTCTAAATTGTAAGCACTAAGAGATGCTTCTAGATCCACCCCCTTCTCATTCTCCTCCAGTTTGGTGTGGTAGCTAATGACATTAAGATAGCAAGTCATCTGTCGGCACAGGATGAAGGTTTTGAGGAGGATAGACAGGAAATTCTCAAGCTTTATCTAAAGATTTATCATCTGTGCTAGGAGGGCAGAACTGCAACTCATTAACTCCTTTGCTGCTACAGAGGTGACCCTCAGAAACAGGAGAGGACTGCAGACAACAGCGTCAACCAGTATAATTCTAGATCTGAAAGCAAGATGCTTAGAACCGAAATATTAACACTGAAGACATGAAGACATGGGAGATAAAGCATCGCAGATATGAGTTAGCCAATTTAAATTGTTTTAGAAATGATGTATGTCAAGATACTAAATTCTAAGAAGTCTAAGGGAGTGTTTCCCTAAAGCAACATTCTTGGAAGGGCTGAAACAAGCAGCTGTATGACACAACACGATGAATTACTCCAGCTGCTGAGTGTCAAATGGTGTTTGGGCACTTTCACGCTTCAGCTTCCTGCAACAGTGACTACTGATAGCTACAGAATACATTAAGAATGCCACAAATCAGGATTTTTGATTGTAGCAGCTTCCCAAACCAAACAGCAGTCAGCAAAAGCACGGTCAGCAGATGCTCGGGATGCTAGCTGGCTTAATTCTTAGGAGTTCACTATAGGAAGCTACTTAAGCTCCTCCTAAGAAAGCGTCAGCTTCAAATAAAAGAAACTAAACTGTTATGTGCACCTCTGTGAAGGCAATGTAAAGCAGTAAGTCATATGCAGGTGCACATTTTAATTCTGTGAATAGATGTCATTTCGTTTAGACATTATACGGTGTGGCTACTGTGGGAAAATACTTCATGTTTTTCGAGAACTCGTAAAATCCCCTTACACTGCGTAAATTTTCAGTGTGCTGGGAAAGTAGCCACAATACACAGGGAATATACAGCAGCACTTCAATTGGCAACAGAGTGAAACCAGATGTGGACATATAGAGAAATAACATTATTTTAGATGACTGAATACAACCGAGTGGGTGGGCAACCTGGAGGACCCTCTGAAAAGAAACATGTTTAATACAATACTGGCAACCACATTAAAGCTTCTGGCTATAGGAAATTTCTGGTTGTTACTGAGCAACGCAGTTAGTAAAAGTCTTCATCTGCAGCCTCTTTCCAGGAGATCTCTTAATACACTGCGTATACCCCGAGTAGGTAGGCGTGCACGTACAAGGGGTGAGGAAGGATTTGCTGTGGTTTATGGACTGCTACAAGCATTAGGGAGGCAAGGAGGAAGAGTCCCATGGTTTATTTGCGTATTTATGGTACCAAACCTAATACCAATATATGCAACACCCACTTCTCTATTTTCTACAGATCTCCTTCAAAGTCTCCAAGACAACTGCCTCTAAATTTGGGTTTCACAATTAAAGCAAGATGTTGCAGAACACTATTGCCTTAGCTCACACAAAGTTTCTCACACTTTCCAACTAAAAGCTCACGAGAGCAACAGCAGCAAGTAGCTGACAAATGGTGTATAACCAACAAAATCTGGACATACAAGGGATAAAGACCAAGCCCGAAGCCAAAGCATCTGCCACAGCAGGAGAGCCATTTGGCAGCTGAAGAAATGTACAAATGTACAAAGGCTTTTAGAGAGAAAAGTACACATAGAAAATAGTCCAAGATGTAGAGGTAAAGCCAAGCCTTGACCATGCCAGAGTATGTTCACTGGTACAAAGATGCACAGTAAAAAAAGATGCAATTCATCTGGATTAACAGTTGGAACATTAACTATACACTGGAAGTGTTAAGGATAGTCTTCTAGGAATAGGGTTTTTTTCCCACTTGATAATGTACACTATGTTCAGCTCCTTGGCTAAACAGCACATTTTTAGTCTTGTGAATGTTAGTGCAGAGTAAGTGGGTTTATCTTAATCCCGTAAGGTTTCTGTTCCCTCTGAATACACAACTCTCCTGCAGGATAAATAGGGCAAAAAAGGGGAACATAAATATCTGTTACGTTCATAGGGATTTTTCCTGAATCATTAGGCATTTACATCAGGGGTAGTTAAAATCCAAACATTTGTTCTTCGCACGCTTTCTTCAAAAAGAAAAGGAAAATCCCTCCTGACTTTGGCAGAGGAACTTATGTCATCAGGGTAGAGAAGGATTATTTAACTCATTATGAAGTTAAGGGAGCTGGATAAGCAAAGACCAAATACCATCTTGGCCATGGCACCAGCTTCCCTGCATTTCTGAGGTCTTCCCTCTCTCGGGCTCTCTGAAGATCCTACAATGATGAGAGGGAGAGAAAACAGCACCAAAGTCTTGGAGGATTCCCTAGATCCTGGCTTGAGTGTTAGAACCAGAAAGCTTTTGTAGTCTCTATATGAGCCTGAAGAATAAAGGCTACATGATGCTTATTACCTTGAAGGCTTCACTTTTAGCACAAAGTCCAAGACCAGAAGAAAAGCCATAAACAGTGAAGTCTAAAAATCTAAACAATTCTAGAGAAAAAGGAAGGGAAGGCTTTTCCTAGCAAGTGTTAGAATTAAATAATGATTTCTTAGCGGAATTCGAGACTTAAAAACTAGGTTCCTAATGTTTATAGCTGCTTAGGTAAGATCCAAATGTGGACAAAATAACTTGATGAATTATTGTCTTTTTCTGCATGCAATTCATCCAGTAAGTATGAAGCTGCTCAAAGGTCCACCAAGTAAAACCACTCCTGAGTCTCACTGCAGCTTTGCTGAATGCTTTAAGATCAGCTCTACCTTACAGTGCTGAGCGAGGTAAATCTGGACAGCAGAAAATGTTCACAACTTGCAGAAACTACATTACAGGCCCCTGACACACAGCAGTATAGGAAATTATCCTGGGAGAAAGCTGACTGTATGGCACTGTCCATCTCATGGAGCAGGAAGAAAAAAGAGCATGTTCTCCAAGAGTCCAAATGGTGCAACACACCAGAGAGAGCTCAGGCAAATCAGGTACAAGAGGCAACATAACTAAGTTTCAGACCTACAAGCTTTCAGGTTAGATGTAACATCAAAATATACCGACTTTAAAGAAACCCCTGTGTACACCAAAGTGATAGAGAAATATGGCTGTAACTTCCAGATCTGGAGGGGAAATCTTAAAAACACAAGCCAACAGCAATGAGAACAGAGAGAGCTCCTCTGAGGCACCTCACTGGCGCATGCATCTGGGCTATACACGACACCTGATCAAGAACAGTGCTGCTGAAAAACAAAATTATTGTACCTTTTAGTATCAGGAGACAATAACTAAGTTCATGCACAACAAAATACAAATTTCTATTTAAACAGGCATTTATCAGCCCTTATCAGAGCATAGGGGCATTTGAAGTACTCAGACAGGAACAGTAAATCCCTCTTTCAAATCTGCAGAAGAAAACCAGCAGACTTAGTGCACCCATTTGTGGAAAAAAAGTAGTTGTGATGTGGGCAAAGTGAACAACAAAAACCAAGCCAAGGATCCATCCTGTGCTGGGGCATCTGAAAGGAGGCCTCTGCCCTGTCCAGATGTGGAAACCAAAATCTGTGCCATGCACCACAAGAACTTTGTCCTTAGTGCACAAAAGCTTCTCCTTTCCTTGGCCAGTTTCATTTTCAAGAAATGCCTTTTGGAAAGTGCCTGTGAAGTAGAGACTTCAAAGATTGACTAAACAAACTTCTAGGTGTATAACGCTGACCAGATTCTACACACACACACACATACAGCTTCTCCAGCATCACAATCAGAAGTGCTAAACAAACCCATCTCCCTCAGAAATTATACACTCCAACTTTCACAGTCAAAGATCCCCAAATGCTGGCAGTGACTGAGGGTGAGTGTTGACTTGCTCTCCTTCTCATTTTTTTTTCCAAAGCCTTAAAATTTCAGTTCCAGCCCTAAAACCCAAACTTTTCAGAATTCAGAAGAACACATGGTGTTTATCTGATGGCCTGGTGCCACATTTTCCTGAAGTCTTTAGGAAAAATCACATTTTAATTCTTATCTTAATTACAGGGACCTAAGTCTCTATGGAAACAAGATGAGGGCACTTGTTTTGTGCCTAAAGATAGGGGGAACATTTATGAAAGAAGTCTTCTCAGCTCATCACAAGAAATAGATACTTGAGCTAATCCTGAGGGAAAAACAGAATAGTTGGCCAAGCTTCACAAATAATATGGAAAAAATCCAGGGACTTGGGGTTTTGGAATCAGCAGTATTGAGCATCTTGGCAAGGAGCCCATTAAAGCAGCTGACCTTCCCCACAACGCTCCGAGACTGCACGGATTCCCTGTGCCAACCATCTCCATAAAAAACATCTTGCAACCCCACGTTCAGTTCTCTAGGATAAGCCTCAAATCAGGTTTTTCTTTTCAAAAAGCTCCTAAAGAAGTTTGGCAATGCAGCATCTGACTTGGAGAGATCTAAAATTACTGGACCACTTCTTGTGAAATGAAACCTAATTAAAGATTTGGCTTCCAAATGGAGGTGGAGAGTAACTGCCTCTTTCCAAGAATTTGGTTTCAGATCTCTAAATGTCTTCTTATTTTCAAATCCAATGATTTCAGAAGTGACATTATGTTCCTAAAATGTGTCTGGCATGAAATAAACAGATATAGGCACTAATAAATTTTCAGAGAGGCAAGGGAACTTCACTTTGCCAAATCATTGCCTGTACTACCTTGCAGCTATCAACACTTTGTGGTTCCATGGACTTTTGATCCAAAATGCAAATAGAGCCCAAGGGCCAGAATTCAAATTTGCTATTTAGCATTGCTCATTTTTCCTTCCAATTGCTAATTCAGGTTTTGGGTTTCTTTTCAAATTCTGTCAGTCCATCCAAAGGAGAGAGCACTTTTTCCTTGGAGCTTATCTCTACCCACAACCTGATTTAGTACCAGTTGCAGCAAAGTAATAACTGTAATCACTAGAAACTGTCTAATGATTTTTTTAATCTTTATGGTCCACAGGTATAATACTGAATGACAAGATTTTTGTGTTTCATCAAACATATTTTACTGTATTAAAAATAAAGTCCTTTGTACACAAGATATATGTCTTATAAAAAAATATACAAATAATTATATAAATGCTAATATAGTAGCCTTTGGCTCATCACTAGCTCCCTAAACTCTGACCCTCCGACAGAAACAGGAAGATATTATTAAAGGTCCAGGCAAATATTTGAAGAAAAAACATTTTGGTATTCGGAGACAAAATTCTTTATCACAGCTAAGATGAAAGTCTTACTGAAGAGCTTCTGCACAATGTTTTGAAAAATGAAGGAATGGCAAAAGTATGAAAGTGAGGGAGAGCACAACTTTAGGTTTAAAAATAGAATAAAGGCAAGAAAAAGTTAAGAAGTGGTCCTAATCTTATAGCTAAGCTTTGTTGCTATCGTTACTCACCATCTACATTTTTAAATGTTGTTAAAAGCTTCTTTTGACATTCCTTTAGGGAAGTAATTTGTGAAAAGTGCTTTAAAGGGTGACTTCTTACAAAAATCCTAACGGACTTTTGGAAGTGGAAGAATTTTTGGACCCTTGACTATTAGCAGGAACACTAACCCCACTCCATTTTGGAAACCTGGAAAACCACAATATTTTAGAAGGCTTGAAGGAAATATGTAACGAGAGAATGATGTGGCACAATACCCACAGCCTCCTGCCCTCACCCTCCAGAACCAGGAGTGGCAAACACGCTGCCTGTACGGACTGGGCGGTCATGATTCTGCAAGTAGATAGTTTTCAAAGAGACTTCAGTACTCCAGAATACCAAAGACATATTTGTTTCCTGAATTTGGGCAAACAGAGGCTTACACTTACTTTTGTTAAAGTGAAGTTCAGAGGCAAAAGCCTGGCACCTGACAGCTCCTGGCTCCTTTCAGCCTCACTGCTCTACCAAAGCATCCATGGGCTATGGACAACACTGAGGTTGGTTGCCAATTCTTTAAATTCTGCCCCAAGTGATTGACAACCACTAACGACCAGAGGGTTTTTCATAAGTCTACAGACCCAAGCATGGAAAGGGAAGTACAGAGCTACAGGAGACTTGCCCTGAACAGCCCTAATTTGCTTCTCTGCTCTTGCCTTCCTCCATGGGAACCTGAGACACACAGGAGTGTGTCTTAATTTATCTCTAACTTAACAAAATTTAGATTTTTAAGAAACGTGTCCATTACTACAATATACAATATTAGTGGCATACCCTCTTCCCACTCCCTGATATTTAGAGAGTGAAAATGTTTTTACATGTCATATTCATATCATTGATGAGAAAAGCATGAGGGTTTGGGGGTTTTCCTAATCATTCATACTGGCAAGAACTGTCCAATCCAGGAGCTTCATTTCCATGGACTGTACTAGCAAACCTACAGCACCTAAAGAATCAAATAGCAGATTATGTGTCACTAAATTCAAAAAGCATCAAAGTCCTCAGAACACCTCTAAGGAATACTCCCATCTCTAATAATAATAATAATACCTATACCAATATTCCAATTACATCCAAACAAATGAGTTTCAGAAGAAAAACTTTGAAAATATGAGTTAATAATAATAATAATAATGCTAAACTGTCATCGTTCTCTACAGTTTTCCATGCTGCTTGTTGCCTATTTTCTTTACTGAACTATGTCAGAATTTTGCAGAAAGGAAGAAAATTATCACACTGAGAGTCGTCCTTAATCCCATGGGCTTCTTATCATTGCAATATCACTCCACCATTCCTCAATGGGAGAAGACATTTCCTTTCACATACTAAGATGTGTATCATTCTGCTCAGAAGGAAATATTAAGCTTGATCTTATTTTGCCTAGGCTACCTTTCATGCTTAGTTCTTTATCTTTAAATGCTTATAAATTGTGTAGCAAGGGTTATAAAAAATATTTGAAAACATGATGTTTTCCAGCAGATACATTATACAGATAGGTTAAGAGCTTTGAAAAATTGTTTACTGAGTGCCATGCAACACAAATTCACATTTGCCACAGCAGAATGATTCCACTGCTTCACATCTGCCTTAAACATCCTAACGCATGTTTCCCTACTAATGAATTTCAGACCAATAATTTCACATCCATCACATGGCTGAAATAAATCCATTACAATCTGTGGTATAACTTAAGAGTTTTGTGGTGGGTATACAGCAAACTGAGCAAGACAGATTTTCTGCTGGTAGGCAGAAGATGATCCTGATTTATCAGAAACCTTTTAAAATGAGTGAGCAAGCCCAACTTTGTAAATCTTAAGCAAGATAAGTAAAATTTTACATCACAGAAACAAATAGTCTTTTCTTCAGTTTCTTTACCACTGATACCCCTGTGGGGTTTATCATTGCAGGACTGATTATGGTTCTCATCAAACCACTGGAGGGGCAAAAAAAAAATCCCACGTGGTGAAGGAAGCTGCATCTGCATCAGTCACCACTTTAGAAGTAGTAAGTTACTAAATGAGCAATGTTTTAAATGATTAGTGTTGAAGACACATTAAAACATTCAGCAATACACGGAATTGTCTCGGAGTAGCATGTGTCCTAGAACAGCTATTTTATTAAAATCCACAGTCCCAAAAGACCTTAAAAAAATCTTTAAATATGAAAGGACGGTGTTAGCACTTCAATCTTAATGTACACAGCATGGCAGTAAGTTGCTAAGGGTGTTTTTTACACTGTTTGACAAGCTAGAGCTCACAAAGTATTGATGAAACAGATACATGTGATAATCAGAAAACGTACCTCTATATCCTGTATTATTTTTGGGTATAAGGACCTGTAAAAGGAATTTGGGGGGCCATCTGTTGGTCTGTTTTTAAACAGGTACTGATCCCTAGAAAGAACCAGAAACATAATTTTCAATGTACCACAAAGAATCCAAACTAAAAAGGAATTAAAACTCTGCACAGAACAAAACCTGATGACATATGCTCACAGAATACTTGTAAAAGTTTTTAGTATCGCTGTTACAACCCTTGTGATTTTACAATATGATAGCTGTATCTAAAAACTCCAAGACTAAAAAGGTAACAGGTGTCTGCTTTATGGTTTTCCAGAGTTCACTGACTCATGAGTCTTTTAGCCAGCACGGTGTCCTCTTGCTCTTTACCATATGCCTTGCATTTTCTTAGGCACACCACTAGAGAGCACAACAAAAACAGGTTTCTAAATCAGAACACTTATTCTCTTCAGCTACTCAAAAAGGATAGAAAAACTCCATTGCTACAAACATGTTTTTTCTTTCAGAGAGGCTTCTGCAGCCCAGTTGGCTATTTTATATTTTAAGAAAAAAAACCCCTTTAACTGGAAACGGGTCGCTTGAGAAAAAGCCCTGCAAAACACGTTGTTGTGATTCTACATATTAATTTTCCCTGCAAAACAGAAATTACAAATTTGCAGAGGGACTTACTGCAAGAAAGCAAGTGTGGGAAGCCACTGGAGCACAAAGGGAGAGGGGACAAAGCCAAGGCAGACGAGGGAGCCAGCAACTTTCCCTGCAGCCACCCCGAGTCCATAGCAGAGGTGAGGATCTCAGGGATGCCAGTTCACTACAAACTGACTTTTTGGTGGAGCTCATGATTAGGGAAATTTGGAAAGGAGAATGCTGTAAAAGGTGAATTTAGTTATTGTCAAGGTACTTACCAACCCCTTCTTTCTGACAGCCCCTTCCACAGCGGATCTGTGCGTACCATTCTTTCAATCAGTTTTTTCCATAGCATTCCCTCAGAGATGACTCTCTGCCATTCCTTACACACCAGCTCTGCTGCACAGAGCGATCTGGCATCAAGGTAGGAGAGGATGTTTTCTGCTATGTGATCTAAGCCTTGCTCTACAAAGAAATAAAGGCAATCAAAACGTCAATCACTGCAGAGTAAACTGCTAAACAAGCTTTGCTATACAGTCAGAGAAAGCCAACACAGCCTTAAGGTGCTGCAGCAACATGGTAATTAAATCATCATATGTAGAAGCACCAGTTACAAATTCACCTAAACAGGTACACCAAACTATCTCCAATACTTTACTCCTCTCCCAGCACAGTCCCATACTGGACTGTCCCATTTCCACAGAGTGGGGACAAGCACAAACCAAAATTCTGCATAGTATGCAAGCAGCAGAAAGCATTTTGCTTCTTCTCGGCACAGAATCCTGGGATTTTTGAGCACTTAACGCACTGGGCTACATGATCCAAAAAGATCATTACCTTCAAGCAGATGCTTCACTAAGCAGCAATAACAGAAAATTGAAATATTGATTTTTTTATTATTCCCTTACATATAACAATGGACAATTCAACTCGGCAGAAGACAGGACTGTACAGGAACAAATGCAGATGTATACAGCACAAGCGTGAGCAAAGATTCTGTAAAAAAATGCTAGCATCAAATGCAAGGACATCTTTTCTATTTAAGCTCTTCCTACAGCCTGCAGGCGCCAAGTTCACTCCTGAATTTTGTTCAGGACTCTGTTGGTAGAGCACATGACACAAACTCTGTGCCCTGCAGCCTGGCATAGGAAGAAGAAATCAATAAGAATGAGTTTGACAGTAATTTATTAATTGCAAATGGTGCTTTAGCATCCCAGACAGTTCTCCTGATTCATGGTTTACCATCACTAGGCTCCACACTTAGAGAGTTACTACTGAATGACTTATCCCAGAAGCTTGGGGGTTTGATGCTTCTTGTCAGCTAGAGAAAAACTCAAGAGAGGCAAGGTTTTTGAAACAACCAAATAAATCTGCGTAACATTCAACACAGCATTTATTTTGGGGGGAAGAGATGCAATTTTTTCTAGTATGAGAATCAGCTAAGAAACCTCAGGATCAGCAGGAGTCAAGTAACTCAAATAATGAGAGGTGACCGCACAGCTTCTGCACCCTAAATTCCAGTGTGAAGTGAACTTAGTTTAGCTGCCCAAAAGGTTTCCCAATGTATTTACAACAGCCACACGGATATTATCTTAGTGCCTCTCCTGTATCTGCTGCTCTGCTGCCCCCGAGCACAACCTCCTTCCGGTGTTGCGTGTTCACATTGTGCCAGTTTGGCAACTGGGTCCAAGAATGAGTTCAGCAAAGTACCATGCAAGTGAAACCCCCAAGTGAAACAGCACTGTCCCACATGAAAGCCCGTTGGCAGGACCTGGACATCCCAGAAAGAGCAGCTATGGGTGACTCATGCTCTAATCTCACCGGCAGCATGAGGCATGGTGGTTAACAAGCAACCGTTACAAGCAGGCTGGGGAAACGCTGACTTCCATCTGGACTGGGGAAACACCGGCTTCCATCGTGAAGACCCTACCTGCCAGAAGCAGCTCATTAACCCCTGTGACCCTTTCACAACATGGTAGTGTTAGATTTACATACTAAATACACTCCACACACCAGCAGAAGTTCAAATGTACTGGAGTTGGGGTCCTGCTCATGGATCCAGGTCTATATAAGGCAATGTGCTGCACTGTATTATTTCGTAAATATCAGTTACTACTTATCCAAAAGCCCAAGGCACTTAAGCTGAAGCCGGCAGAAAGAATAAGCACATCAATAAATATGATGAACACAGTAAGCTGCCATGACAGATCTATCAAGACATAAACCAGGTAGAACACCTTCTGCATCTGCTAGAAGTCTTTGCCTAGATCTTGTCTCCTGCTAAGGGTATTAGACTGAAAAATGTGATTGTAGCTGAGTAAAGGTACATACATAGAAAACACAGATGATACACTTGCACTAAATTTAAAATAGTAATCAAACTTTTCTTGTTCATATTCCAACTACAGCACAATTGGTCCCACCAAAAAAAAAAATAAAAAAATCACTAGTAAGTCTGTTACTTATTTCAAAGGCCCTGTAATTTTGTTTTCCCAAAAACTCCACTAAATCAAAGATCTAGAATAACTTCACTTTTGTGAATAACAGATGCCAGTTGGCTAAGCATGAAAAAATCTTTCAAACTAGGAGATGACGACCTTTTTAATTTTCCACTTTATCTCATGGCAGCCTAATTTAGGCTTCAAATAGTCCTAAAAAAAAAAAAAATCACAGAAACTACTGCTAGTTTTTTAAAGAATTAAAGAAGTGTGGTCCTAACAGTCCTCCACTGCACACTAAATTTGCCATGGACTTGGTAAAAATGAACAGCAATGGAAAGGAGAAATCAATACATGGAGTTGAAGAGCATTTGTTCATTTCTTCTATGTAATTTAGAGAACTATAAAGAGGCTTTAAAGAACAGTGAAAGTTCCTACAATGTAAATTGCGTTTACACAAATTTTTCAGTATCACTCATAATAACAAATTCAAATAACTGAAACATAACAAGGTCCAAATAACTGGTGGGTCTCCAATCTAACCACTTCCAAACGAGCAAATGTTCTCCTAACAGTGCCATGTCTCAGAGCAGCTTTAAGCTGCACCATCAGCAGTTTTAAGAAAGTATCAGGGCATTTAAATACATCATGAAAGTGTCTTCCAGCATGCCCCATCCCAAGCCTTCTAGTAAATAACTGAGATTCTAAACACTGCTAACTTAGGGTATATTTATCTGACCACGATGCTACATGATTTGAAACAGTTCTCAAGGTTTTCCTGGAAAATGTAATCATTGCAAGGTCATTTTCAAGACTTAGTTTAAAATCATGCATCCTTGATTCCTTGATTGGTTCCTTGATCACGAACACAAACTAATCCATTGTGCAAAGTGGAGGACACAGCTAGATAAAAATAAAGAAACAGACATCTGCTGGGTGAGCGTTTCTCTGATTTTGAAGGTTACAGCTTCAGGGCATACACTGTGTTTTAACAGACCTAACAGTTAGTCTAGACTTCAGTACAAAATAGTCATGTTCAATAATGTAAGACCAGCCCATACAGAGCAAGTGCTAACACATCTATAGCTCTGCAATCACACAACACAACCCTCTACATATTTTCACAGCACAACATCACATTTGGAAGATGAAGAGGAAGAATTTTCTATATCAAGCATTGCAGTTCCCAAAGCAAACAGTGCAGAGGATATAGCAATTAACCACCATTGCTGCAAACTCAATTAGCAGAGCAGTACATTGAGGCTCCTGCATCAAAGGTATTTAAAGCTCGCATTTCACTGCACCATTTTTCTTTCAATAGCCCTTATACAACATCTCAGCATAGATCAGCCTCCCCTTGCTCTGCAGAGTAGTGAGTGTGTTCACTATCCTCCCAGCATGTGTATCGCAGTTCAGGGCTAAAGGTGTACTAGTATTTACCTCACATGGGGATATTTAGTCAAATCATTAGGGAATAAAAGAGATTAGAGGACTAAGAAATGACAGAATTGATAGTTCAAGCAGTATCAGGCTCCTGTGTTTCAAGGCTATGAATTAAATATAAAAATGACTGCAATTTTCAAAGAAGTGAAGAAACTCTGAGTAAGCACCAAAACCAGTTACAGTTAAACCTGCAGAGCCAGAAATTAAGAAGGGAGGAAAACACCCTGATGCCAAGAGTGTTCCTGCAAAATGTGGCAGAACGACAAGAGCACTGACTGAGCTCCCAGCTCTCTCAGAGATAGGAGGACCTGTCCTGTCCCTTCCACATGAAAGGCGTTTTAACCAGAGGTGACGTGGCAGAAGAGCAGAGGCACACATCCAGCTAACCTTTCCAGATGACCTTACTTCCCCTTTGTTAGAAGAAAAACACAGTCCAGCTACGTCTGGGTTCCAAAAAGCCAGCAGCATAAGATACACTGGTGACAGGCAAATCTTCCAGTGTCTGAATTTTTAAGGTGTGAAAATCTTTACTCAGGCACCTGAAAGATTGCAGGTGAATGAGCAAATGAATGATGCAAAGTCCATCATATCAGCTGTCTGTAAAGCCAAAGGAATAGCTGTCCTGAGACACATTTTTGGTGTAAATATGGGACAACAGGATCTGTGCTGAAGAGTTACTCCTCTACTGGATGCTCTTCTCATTCCAAAGCTGAGGAGTGTAATTTTGCCTAATTGGAATAACTTAGTAAACCAGTTATCACATGTACAATAACTTCAGTAGATGAGAGAGACTTCAATGCTTTTAGTCAGAGAGCACTAAGCAAGCCATAACTCTGCACTTGTTTCAACTAAGCACTTAAAAGAAAGGTTGTGGGGCAAAGCAGCCATACTGGCAACAGTTCCCAGGAGAGAATGTGACAAAGGTGTTCAAATGACAGTAAGGCACAATCTTTTTCCAGTTTATCTGTTACTGCCATCTCCTGGCAATGAGCTAAATAATTATCCCTCAAAAGAGGGATGAGAACTCTGAGGAGCTGTAAAGTTAGCAATAACCAACTGAATAACAAGGCTCTGCTTCAAAGTACCCTCTGAACTCACCCAAGTGTATGGTTCTGTGGGTTTCCGGTGGTGCTAGAACTTTTTCAGAGCTAGAACTACTGCATCACTTGTTTCTCCATAGCAGGCAAGTGGTTTTAGTACAAGGACAAACACTTCAGGAGCTTTATATCCAGCACACAGCATATTCTACTATTAGAAATCCGTATGTTGTATTTTCAATCCTTTGTGCCTCTAGGAACGTCTGTGTCATTTAAATAGTTTCAGAAGAGTTTGACTTAATTACAATTTTGAGACCACAAAAATAGCATTTGGATCACAGTCATGTTGGTGAGCAGCACACACCAGGGCTTGCTTTCGGTCCTAACACCTCTTAGCAGGAGGCAAACACAGGATTGTTAAATTCCATAGTTTTAGGATTTCTTATTTAGAACTGACCGTGATGTCCGAGTCACACAACATGTGTATTCATCAACTCACATTCCACTGCTTTCAGTTTTGTTTGCCTTGTGAAATACTATTTTTCTAAAAGAATTCTCCAGATTAAATGTGGTTGTTAAGACACATGACGCAGCAGGGACATTTTGCAATTGTTCAGCCTTTCACACAACTGGATTTGGAAGAGCACTAACAATCCTCTGAAAAACAGCCGGGAAAATGTGGATCCAAAGCCACCACCTCTTAATGCTTCAAGGCTGGAAATGCCACGGGAATGACCAAGAAGCTCCTCCACTTTGGGAAACTATGCTCCAGAGTGCAAACAGGACTGGATAGTACAATGTGTTTGGTGCCCTTCTGTGGCATGTGCAGAGCTCAAAGTACCAGGCTGCTAAGACCCAGGTCCTTCTCAAATTCCAATCTGAAAAAAATAATTTCACTTCAACATACACATGAAGCATTTAGAGAGAGGGCTAGAACACAGTTCCTAAGGACAGTAAGTTTCCAAATAAACTCAAACTACAAAGAAACTCTTCCTTCTTAAAGTGACTTCAGTTTTCTATGGGTTAGGCATGTTCTCCAGAAGATTTAAACTTGGCTGCTATCTGCAGAAGGGTGTGTTATGGAACCATCAGATGTTTGGAGAGGTAAAACTCAAGTGACAAGTTGGATTTTGAATAAAAACTCAGCTTGTTTTTATTCATTTCACTAACTCAAGGTTTTTTCAGACTCTTGCTTGTGGTGTAACCCTAGGACCAAATGCTCATCAACATTTAGTTGCACAAACCCAAGGTTTTCAATAAAAGCTAGTTGCAATCAGCTTCCACACCTCCACAACAGCCACAACAACAACAGCCCCACGTACCCTTGTCAACCTGGGGCTGTACACTTCTAACACATATAGCCTGGGCATTATGAAGCCAGTCTTTAATTGAGTTTTAAGGAGCAACTGCTAATTACAAGGTAAAAGCCTGTTAATAAGATGCATAATTTTCACAACTCTGCTTAATACTGGCCACAGTTAAAATCAGATTTTTAAAAAAAATCAGAAACTCAAAGTGTTTTCTGAGGTTAAAATCCAGTAATCTTGTTTTCTGTGAATACACTGACCCTTCAAAGCTGCATACTGAACAAAAATATACAAATGCTTTGTTTTGCCACCCAATCTATTCTTAAGATTTTTGCTGTTTATAAAAGTGCACAGATTTAAATTGTTCACATTAAAAAAAGATGTAAAATATTTACCTTAATTAACATAGTAGGAACAGGTCCAAAGCACAACTAGATAGGTTTGCTGTAATTGCTTCATTCAACATGTGGGATTAAGTTTAAGATACTGAGTCCTGAATTAGCTGCATATACCCATTTTATGTTAAAACACAGAATTTAGCTTTATAAACAGTTTCTGAAATAGGTACTAAATGCTATCAATTTTCTTTAGTAAAATCCGTCTAGTATTTATTGGTAGACTTTGCAAAGAAGATTACAACCAACTCTTATGTCTCTACCAGAGCTTTTGCAGAGAATGGTGAAAAATTACAGCTGTTCTTTATTATAGGTACCACACGAAGGTTTGGTTGAACTTCAGCAATGAATTGAAACAATTAAAACCACAGGGATTTCAGAGCTCAACATGTAAATATCACTTTGTACGAAAATGAAACCCAAACGTGGGATGTCAACCCCATAAAACTGGCCAAGATCAGATACAAACCAGTCACTTAGATCATGCAACTGGACGGGCTTTTCCTATTTCAGCAACAAATTTCAAAAGAAGTCTGGTGGGGTTTTACTTGCCTGACAGCAAGTTCTCTCAGTTTTAACACACAAAACTACATGGAAAGGACTTTCTTTCCTAATTAAGGGTGACAAGATAGTGCTCAATGATCAAGGTTTTAATTCATTTAAGGAAAGGGCACAAGATGGATGACACTATGCAAGGAATATGAAGATTAATGTCTTAAGGATAATGAAAAGATTCAGAAGCACAGAGGTGACAGAAGTTACTCTTGCAAAGATGCTGTCCATTACATGCTGCTGTCTTTTCAGGGCTGGTTTTGACATGCTAGAGCAAACAGCGTTGGCAGGTGTGGAAAAACAATGAGTATGGGCTTCTGCACCACCCCACCAAAGGGACTTGCAAGAGCTGACACGGTATCAGCCACACTGCACAAAGGGGACTGGCAGTGAAGGGAAGACTCCAATCACCTCCCAGCTTTTAAGCACAGACCCTGCAGACTGAACACTCTGCCACCACTAGAGAAGAGCACACCAGAATCAGCACTTCTGAAGCCAAGGGAAGCCAGATACCACCACCTTTTCCCCTTTTTCCTGCATTCTCACAGGTGTAAAATCACCAGGGACAGTAGCAAACATTAACTATAACCATTTAAACCAAAAGAATTTTACTTCAAGACAAGGGAAATGGCTTTTTTAGAAAGGCAGTACTTTACTGATATCTTTTAATGTGACGTTAGTCCAAAGGGGGATTGATTTCCAACAGCTCAGATTAAGTTCTTGGCTAAATTTATACAGATATTCTTCACGCACCTCATTATCTTCAAAAAAGGCTGAGTACGGGAACAGTTCCCAGTATTTACATCATAAAGAATAACAGAAGTTGTAAACAAACTTTTTATATATACAAATGTGGTGCAAATAAGTGTCAGCTTACACAGCTCCCAAAATTTTCTGAGAAATAAATATATAATATGAAAGAACTGTATAATTCTGTCAGCACAGAGGTATAAGAGCAAACAAAATAAAATTATAATTCAAGTTCATACTTGCACATGATCACCATGACTTTATTTTTCAGTCAAGCCCAGATACTCCCTAGAGAAATCAATATGCAGTATTTTGAAAATAAGCTGAAAAAAACACCCACACTACCTAAAGGAGACAGCTCTCCTCTAGAAATGGGGAGCATATTTTAACATGTGTGGCCAGACAAGGTAAGTCTTCTAAAAATAACTTCTATGAAACTTAGATGCAGAGGGAAAAGGTGCTCCTGCCCTTTTTCACAGTCCTCTTCCACATTTAAAAGCCTTTTTTTAAAGAAAATAGATATAATAATATCTCAAATTCTGTATCAGTTCCTGTGGTCTACCCCATATTCTTCATTCCCCTCCAGCTACTAAGAAGTTGATTTCTACCAAGCTGAACAGATGAGCCAAAATCCACCCCCCATCACCTCCAGAAGTTGAATTCCTCCAGGTTTTGTGAAAACACAGCCTGAACACCTAAGGCCTGTACCAGGTACCAGGGAAGTCCACACAAGCAAGATCACCTATGGCTACAGGCACTTAAGAGCTTGTCATGTGACCAAACTTTACAGGAACTTCACTTCAGCGGTCCCTGCACTGGAAAAATTACCAGTTTCCAATTCCTTTTGCAATCTGCATCACCTCCTTATCCACCCTCACTCTTCACTGTGTCTTGGCGTTCTTGGGATAGCATCGCAGACCACTCGCTCGCTGCAGATGTGAATCTGTGCTACTATACTGCCAGTGGCAAACTGAACTCTTGGGCCACTGTTTCATGGTTATTTCCCACTCTGAAAACAAAGTCCACACATATACTTTTCAAAGAATCAAACTAAACCTTCTCCCCAGCAGCAAAAATCTAGGATACGATTCCTTCCAGAAACTAATGGGAAAATATATAGAACTTCTCAGGAGACTGAACACTTAGAGATTCTATATAGCCTAGTTCATACTGCTTTATATTTTTTTGAAGAAATGCACATAGCAAATGCAAGAACAGATTTCATAATTGAACAATTGATACATGTTTACAGTGATCAGTGGCAAAAGAGGTTCTAAGCAACTGAAGGAAGGAATCACAGCTGGACTATGCAATAAAAAAGAAATCCACAAGCGTTTTTGCTCTTGAGTCAGTAACAAAAGCAAACTAGATTCAGATTTCTAAGCATGCAGCTTTTTATTTAAGATTTAGGAAAACCTAGACCAAAACTAAAATGTAATAAAGACTTGATAAATTAGTTAACACCCTTACAGTATTCTCTACACATATGGCGTTCGTATGAAAGAGGACTTTAGATCAGAGCTTTCAGAGATACTTCTGTGACAACTCAGTTCTGATTTAAACACAAATCATTCTGCAGGATACACTCCTCAAACTGCTTTTACATGGAACAACACTGGCATCCAGTGGCCAATTCAATTAATAACACAAGGGAATGAATTCAGTTGCTCCCCTGCCCTTCTTTTGACCAGGAAGCATCACTTTCTTTAGGTGAGACAATCTAAATCTGGAGGATGTTCCAAAAAGTTTGCATACACCCAAAGCATCAAACCAAGTATTTATAAAGGCATCTCTTGCAAAAGAAATATTAATTTACCTGGTAACGCAGTGATGAAGTCCCGTTGTAACATGGGCTTCAGGTAAGAGTTAATATGTCCATGCTGATAGTGACACATTCGTGAAATAAGGTGTTCCACAAATTCAACTTGATCTGATTCAGACCACTGGTCAAAATATTTAATACACAAGTCTTTTTCCTTTTCGTAGTTTCCTTCCGATGGTCTTTTTCTTGAGACAATCACAGATGAAGTTCCATTACTTATCTGTTTTTAGAAAAGGAATATCAGCACTTAAATATAAACAATAGAAACAGCTTTACAAGAACTCTCTCAAGGAAGAGTGTGAGAAGAGGCAAAGATAAGCAGCAAAACTGAATTTGAAAGCACAATCTTAAAGCTATGATTATGCCATTAAAATTTCATCTTCCATAGATAAAGATTGATAAAAGGACTTTGTGCATAATTCTAAGTTACTTCTTACACTGAAAGTTGGGTATTAATACTCTAACACAACATTTCCAAGAGCTTCATGTCAGTGTTGAACTTCTCACCCATAAACAAAACCCAAGAATTAAATGATGTCAAGGACTTTTCTTTTTGAAAAACAGCTCATGTCAATGTCTGGGATATGCTCAGAAAACCATTGTTAAAATCCTGGGAGCTTCAGCTACAAATAAGGATGCTACAGGAACACCACCCCAGGACTTACTGCTAATTAATAAATAGAAGCAAAGACTGAGCCCATTAGGAGACCAAGAGGGCTGCTGGGGAAGAGCTGTCAGCTCTCCAAAGTAGTCCCAAACTTCTTCAAAACAAATTGATTGCAACTCCTTGCCATGTGAAGGTGCCAAATTTTTCCTTTAATTGACAGACACGGGCTCTGAAAGGTTGAACTGTATCCCCAAGTATCCTTTGACACAGAATTGTTTTTTCAAGGTCAGCACAAACCATAAAATCTAAGAAGATCTAGTGATTTCTCAGGTATTATTCATGGTTGCCATCCTTCACTTGAAGGCTAGGCTTATTTTAGGATGTTACAGTCAATTACCCACAAGAATAGTTATGCAGATGCAAGATTTGGTTTGGTTTCTCAAAAGCAGGAATATATAAAATCATGCCAACTCTCTCTCTGGGTGAATGTTAGTCCTACCTGCCATAGGGTATTTTTCTTTGGAGACTCATCTTCATTCTGATCCTCCATTACTGACGTGTTCTAGGATAAAAAAAAAAAAAAAGAAACATGACTTCAATTTTTTATTCTATGGCGACTCCTTGCTCTACAAGCATTATGAAAAAGCAAATCCATTGAATAGACAAAATTCATTTTCCCAGTGAACGGAATTATCAACGATTTCTGGCCACACAACAGGGGTATTATAAATAAATTCCCCCTTTAACTGACATGTTTATCAATTCCATTTACTGTGAAGATAACTCCCCAACCCCTCTTCAGTTTCCTTTGACAAGTTTTCATGCAGCCTTTCAACACTTTTCTCACTGGGAAATAAATTCACTTTTATCCTATTCAAGCCAAAGTAATTAAACCTGTCAAAGTAATCAGCTAGCACTTTCTGCCAAAGTTAAATTGCATACATCTAGTTGGAAAAAAAAAAAAAAATCACTATGTGCTACTTACATGCAACAGAATATGATTTTCCTTTTTCCCCAAGTCTAGCTTAGCATGAGGAGGAGGGACCATTCTCTGCAGAACGCCTCTAACTCACTGCCACAGCCTGGGCCCTACCACCCTTGGCAGGCACCATCTTTCTTCACCCTGCCTTAGTTACAGCGCCCTCCACACATCGTAACTGCTCCCCCCTACTCTTTTCTTCCCTTTTCTTCAAGAACGAGAGGTGTAAGAACTTCCATAAACACTCAGCTGCAAATGTTTCTTTTAGAGCTCACCTTAGTTTTTGAAACTCTTTCACCTATTTCCTCCCTTTTTGTTTTATAATTATCTGCTCCTTTTTGCTATCCATACCACAATTACCATCTATTTCTACCAGCTCACTGGTACCCCACACCTAGGCAATTACTGCTTGGCTTCCCACCAACCCTGTCCTCCACAGCATTTGTTCCCAGGAAAGCAGAGTGCTAACATGAAAAACTGAACGTCTTAAAGCACTGTCTGTAATTATGTCAGCCTTCTTCTCCTCCAGTAGCTGTCTCAGCAGAAAGAGGAACAAAGCACTCAAAGCACATGATAGAGTAAGTCACACAAGCCCTTTACTCTTGCCATCAAAGCTTATGGATTAACCCCTTAACAGCTACATTGGCTCCCATTCACTGGAATAGGTTGCCCAGAGAGGTTGTGGATGCCCCATCCCTGGAGACATTCAAGTTCAGGCTTGATGAGGCTCTGAGTGGCTTGATCTAGTTGGAGATGGCTTATAACTGGGGGGTTGGACTACATGACCTTTGGAGGTCTCTTCCAACCCTAACAGTCTATGATTCAAAACAATTCCACCTCAAAAGCATTCACCATTTCACCTCTGTCTTGCATAAGTGATGTACAACACCAAAACCAGAGAACTTGACAAATGTACAGTTCCACCACTACAGGAAAACCTTCTTCCACCATGTTGTGGTTTGAGGCTTGGAATGGGGGCGTGACCTTCCAGCAACTGGGAGGACCCCGGGTGGGGGTGAAACCATTGTATTCCCTCCCCTTCCCACACACACTCTGATAAGAGGCAGGGAGTGGTTTTTTGTTTCACTCCTGCCTTGGAGCTCAGAGAGGAAAGTTCTCCTTTCACTCCGTGGGACCCTGGAACCATTTCTGAGGGTTTTGTATATTTTATCTTTTGTATTATTCCCCTGATCTTTATATATATTATTTTCCTTACCCCCCTTTTTCATTTTCTGTTCCTTGTTGAACAATATACTTCATTTTTTAAAAAGTGTCTCTCTCTCTCTCTCGAGGGGGTGGGGGAGAGGCGAGTACATAGTTCTGTTCCGTGTGGGTCCTGCCCTGAACCCCTTTTTACACGGAACCAGGACACACCACCTGACTACACTGCTGTGTCTGAAGTCTATCTAGAATTCTCTTCTGCCCTGCATCACACAGATGAAAGACTACATTATAAAAACTGTGTCCACTGGGTGATGAAAACCCTCCAGCCTATCTAGTTGTGACAATGACGAACACAAGCCCAGGAGATGGCTAATGGGAACTCGGGAACGGACAAAGGCAGTAAAGGTTTTTGTGTTACTCCACAGATACATCAATTTTAGTGTTCCTGGACATACAAGGAACACTAATACTGAAAAAGTAAACCCCAGTTCCCCCGTTTTCAGCATTAGTCCGGCACGGCCATTCCAGCTGTAACCCTGCCCCTGCCAGGACTCCCGGAGGAGGCGTGAACTGCGCGCTGCCCTCCTGGGGAGCACGAGCCAGCCGCGCACCTGCCGCTGCCCTCCTGGCCCACGCTGTTCAGCTCCTCTGGAGAGCAAACGGGACTCCAGGGAACTATGCAAGGGTTCCCTACTTTATATTTGAACCCGTAGAAGTACTCATTACAGTTATTGCATGTTGTTTAACAGCATTTTCAATTGGTATGTCCTTAAGTGAGCAAGGAACTTCTCATCCCCTTCTGCAGCTGAAGGCTAAATATATGCATTGAGCCTGTGAGCCAAGAGCGAGGAAGAGGAACTCTCACTGAGAATACCAAACATGGATGGCTTGGGGCAGCATATTCAGCAGAAATCCCACACTTTATCAGTTTAGCCCCAGCCTAACTTTCCTTCCGTAGGTCACAGCAAGACCCTGACATTGCCTCCTTCTGCTCTTTAAGAAATCTCTCAGAGATGGTTGGTAACTTTCTCTGAGATGTAAGCTAAGAGGAGCTGTCTCCTAAATGTTACATCTTCTCATTCTAGGAACATATAATAAAGCTACAGCAGAGCAGTGCTGTAATGGAGAGTGTACGAGAACACAAACTTCACCAAAATGATCAGACTGCCACACTAGGCAGACTGCAGAGCAAGTTCTTGTCTTCGGTGTGCATCTGCTCTATTCTACTGTGCCTCTGTTGCTGCCCAAGGAAAGAAACCTGGGGAGCAGGCTTTCGGGAGATGCTACATCCTTGGTGTGTCTGCTGATACAAGGGAAAAGTAGGACAACTACATTTCTCCTACCCCTCTCCACTTGTCCCTTTTCTTCAGAGCATCACAGTCTTGGCTAAGAGGAGAGTGTCTCAGATGCAAAAATGGGTGACCTGGCAGAGGCAGTACCACTGCTGAGAGGTATCTCCATGTCCTCTCCACATGTGGGCCATAATTGTGAGAGCAAACTGCAGGGATTGATTTAGGCTCAGATTTAACATCGTAGCTATGCATTTAACCATGAAGTAGGCAGCTGCATTAACTTAATGGTATCACTACTACAGTATTTATTGTGTTTTCTCTCTTTTTCCCATCTTAAACTCACTCCACATTTTCTTACTCCATTTCAGAGTTTGAGTGTCTTAACTCTTTGTTCTTTCCCTTTCTGCTCCCAAATATATAGTTAGTTTTCCCTATTATATTTCTCCTCTCCCTAAAAAATACTTCTACCTTAAAACACTTAATTTTGGAGGTCATTCATCAAGACCTAACTCAGGCTCTAATGTGTTTCTAAAGCACTGAAACCTACTAACTGAAGCCTAAAAGATGACTGGGTGGATCCTGTCCCGCTGTCTGGAAGAAGCAATTAGACAACTCTGATCTGTCTCGTACATCCACAGCGCTTGGCAAAAGAGGAATTTCAAAATTCCTAACAGCTGGAGTCACTAGCCCTTGCACAGGAAGGCCTCCAGCTCTTGCACAAGAAGAAAGATAGGCATCTACAAGACCAATCTTCCTTTCATCATGCTGTTCCCTTCTCTCAGCCTTTAATTTGTTGTCTACCCTACCCACCCACCCAAAGCTACCATGCTGGTCACCTCTGTGGGTGAAGGTGAGCTGGTTTTGGCTGGGGTAGAGTTCATATTCTCCATAGGACGGGGCCATGTTTTGGATTTCTGCTGGAAACAGTGTTGATAACACAGGGATGCCTTAGCTGTCTCTAAGCAGGGCTTACACGGAGTCAAGGCCTTTTCTATTCCTCACCCCACCCCACCAGCAAGTAGGCTGGATGTGCAAAACAAGCTGGGAGAGGACACAGCTGGAAGAGTTCATCCCACTGACCAAAGGGATGATGTTCCAGACCATCTGATGTCACGGTCAGCATGTAAAGCTGGGGGAAGAAGGAAGAGGGGAGTATGTCTGGAGTGACAGCATTTGTCTTCCCAAGTAACTGTTACATGTGATGGACTCTGGCTTTCCTGGAGGTGGCTGAACACCCACCTGCCAGTGGGAAGTTGTGAATGAACTCCTTGGTTTGCTTTGCTTATTGACCTGTCTTTATCTCAAGCCATGTGTTTTCTCACTTTTACTCGTCTCATTCTCTCCCCCATCCTACCAGGGGTGAGTGAGCGAGCGGCTGTGTGGAGCTTCATCGCCAGCTGGGGCTGCACCACGACAGCAGGTTTCCCAAGTAGCCTTGAAGTGGCATGCACACAGACTTCTCTTCCCTGCAGCTCTGCTGCTGGACAGCATCAAGACCTGGTGCAAATGATGGCCTCTCATTCCAGTTACTCTGGCAAGGCCGTGAGCCCCTCCAACACGACTGATCTGCACTTTCAGACTCTGGAAGATTCAACTTGTTTTTTTTTTACCCCCACAACCACAGTGGAGAAGTGTAACTTCTAAATATTGTCAAATAATCCTGTTTATAAGTTCATTTTTTTCCCAGAAATTCTTGTTAAGTTGCTCATAGCTCTTGCAAAAGTAGAATGATTATTTCCAACAAGCTGTCACTCCTTAATTAGTCAGCCTGGAATAAGTGCTCGCCGTCCCCTACTGGGAACGGCAGCAGCAGCAAAGTGATAACAATGGGTCTAAGCAGAGATGTTTTCCATTGTCTTACAGTTGCTACAACCCAGCTGAATAAAGTTACACTGAGAAAAGCCTCTGTCTTTCTTTTCAGTGATGGTAAAACCAGCAATGGCAGTAAAATTTACAAATTGCCCTATGAACCGTAGAAATTTTGAAGTTGGTTTCCTCAAGATTTGAGTCCTAGATTCCTTGTCTAGTTCTGCAGTAAGTTCAAGCTTCCTTTCACCTTTCTACTCCACAACACCACAAGTCTTTGAGATTTCTATGAGATGCAGATGAACAGGGCAAACAAGTTCA